GACCATTAATAATCGCCGATGCGTAATAATTGCGACAAAAAAATCTATTTCTACGAAAATGCAAAGGAAATTACAACGCTCGCGAATATAGCTCTTGTAGAAACATTTGGAAAAATAATAGAAAACCATTTAACCGTTAGAAAAATTATTCTTTAAGCGAGATATAATGATGATGTGAGAAATAATATTATCCCGTTAGTAAATTGACAGGACACATGTTCTTTCTTGAGAAGTCACTCCACGTGTCGTGATATAAATTCACCGTTCCTAAGGCATTGTTGACTTTGACACGAGAACAGCTTCATCGTGCTCGTCAGGCATATTACTTGCGAAAAGGATCATTGATCAATCGAACGAAGTAGTTTTGTAGAAAGTTCAACAACAACGTATACGATTTTTCGCTCGTTGGTCGAGCACGTGCTGTTGTATTACAATTCGTAATACGCGTGTCGCGTTGTCTGTTTCTTTAACAAACATCGGTACACCTACGCGTGTGGCCGAAAGCATTTTTTTTCGCTCACGAATATTCGGATCCGGTACGAAATCCTTATGGTTTGTCGAAGGATCCTCGAGAGATATTTGAAAAAGATTCGGGATTGCGCACACATGTAGTGCATTTAATTTTTATATATCACAAGAGAGATGCATATTTTGTAATCTCTCGGTTTACGCATATTCAGTTTGCAGTGTAAAATTTTTATTCATCGTTACGTATATTCCGTCTGTATATTCCGATTTAAAAAGAAAAACACTTTACTGTTTGCTATCCAATCGATCCGAAACCGATCGGCGTCGCGTTACTGAATAATTTTAGCCTTGGGGCGATGCCGATGTCATCGTCGGCGAGGTTCAAAGATCGATTCGTCGAAGAGATCGGTCGCGGCGCGTCCACTCCTTCTCGAAATCTGCAAGCTCACGCCCGTAAAAATATTTTTTGTACGCGTAACACGAGTGCCGTCCCTCAAAACCGTCGGCCGGTGCTTCCATCGGGCGCGTCCGAACAAGGCGTTTCGCTCGCAAGCAAACACCGCGCCATGGTTTGCCTGGTAATTGCTGGAAACACCTTGCGAGTGTTTACAGTGTCATCGAGGCGCGGTCACACCTCGCTCGTGCGGGTCCTATGAGAGCCTGTGTCCTGTCACGAAGAAGTGACGCGCAGCCTGAAGTATAGTGCCTGAGAAATTTTGAATACAAAACCCCTGGTCGAGAGAAATCTCAGAGACTCGATTAATTTATTACAACATAGTGATATAATCTTAACACGTGCCTTATTTAATTCGTCTCGAACAAGCATGTAATGAAATTTCTCTCATTCTTCCATCTATAAAATGATGTTTATGCAACATGTGCATTGTTCGAGTTGCTCAAGTGATACGCAGAATCAGGCGTGTATTATCGGTCTTATAATTACGTACTTAACACACGGCAAAACTTGGAAAAAGATACGCTCGCGCACAATGCAAGTGATTGATGTCAAAACCTTGGAACGTGGATACCGTAGCTTTAATGCACACCTATTGTACAATTGTGATATGAGAGAATATTATTCTTATTACACTGTCTCCGATGATGAGTATATTGTATAGCCAGAGCGTTCTTTGCAAAATGGACACTCGTATAAGAGACATAATAGGGAAATATTTATAACTATCGTCACAGAAATAGGGATGCAAGCTGAATGAGATAGCCGCTCATACTTGGTCTTAGTGGCTCCATCTTCAGCAATCTCTTAGAAATTTCAATGTACTTTTTTTATTTAAAAAATTTAAAAATAAAATACTGTAAGATGTAACTTATCTCTTAAATTTGTTTATCAAAAAGAAAAAACACATTAACAATATGTAGAATTAAACAAAAAAATTTTAATACGGTTTGTAGTTTACACTTGGTTTATAAATTTTTTCATTAATCAGATTTTACTTTCGTTACATATGTAAAAAATGCATATTATAACTTATAATTTACACTTAGTAGAAATAATTTCTAAAACAATGATAAAAATATATATGGTTTAGTTGGCTTCTAATAATGTTTCATGTTCAGAATCTTCATCTATATGCATTTCTTCTTCCTCTTCCTGTGTTTGTTCTCTCACTCTCTGCGTCTGTTTTCGTTTCTTATTTTCCTGCATTTGTTCATCTTGTTCTTCCTTTATCCTATCTTTAAGGCCAGCAGCTGGTGACCGAATAAGAGACATATTACGTTGTACCTCTCTAACATCTCTCTGCTGCTCCACTAATTTTCCATGACGTAACCTCTGCATAATGTGCAAATTTGATCGCTTCTGTCTAATAGATTCTACTTTCTTCATTGCTTGCATGGTCTTAGTCCATAATTCTCTGTTATATTTGATAGGTACATTCCTCCTCTTTTCGAACTCGAACGATGGATCCACTGCCAATTCTTTCCCAGCAGTTTTTCTGTATGCTTTTGTCCATTTGGCTTTTCTGGGATTCTTCTTCTTTTTGAATGCAGCATGGCATTTTGAACGACAAAACCTGAATATCTGTAACATATTTCACAAAATATATCAATGAACAAAAATGACCGCAAATTAAAAAAAATTGAATTATGAATACGATTATTAAGAAAAAGAAAAACCGTCATGAGAAATATATTTTTTGAAAGGATAATTTCAGCCTAAAGATATGTAAAATATTTAAGTTTGAAGAAAGATAAGTGAGGGATTGTTTTAATACTTATAGTTTACATGAAGCACATAACCTTATTTCAATACTAATACGCATTATACATGACAATTTTCCTTTTCAACTTCATTACATATAACATTAGATTAAAACTATTCTTACCTTGCAATCATTCCTCACGAATTGAATTCCATGTCCCGGATATATCCGGGATGAACAGAAATAACACGTTTCTATACGCATGTTGCGAGAAACGTAAAAACTTACACTCAGCTGTACGCCCACGTGCGTCGTGTGCGCGAAGTAGAGAGAATTCTGAGAAGGGGCATCCGTTCAACACCGCTGCGATCATTTTACTTGGAACTACATAGTCGCATTCACTTTTACACACTGTTGGTAAATAACCCTACTACTTGGTGCATGTCTGTGTATGGATTTAATTATGTAATAATTAGAATACTTTAGAGAATTATTTAAAAAATAACTAATAATAAAATAATTTATATAATTAAATTAATTATATTTTATAATAATAATTCTTCAAGTCTAAAAGGGTGTAGATAGCGATATTGAAGAGATCGATAAACGTTCTATAACAAAAGGAGGAAAAGAGGACTTCTTTTACTTTTCTACTTTGTTCTCAAGTTTTTTTTTCGCTTTGACATGTAGGTATAGACATGGCATATAGTATTTTTAAATGGAGAAGTAGGTAAATAAAGAAGATATTATCAATCGATATCACATATTGCAAGTATTTAAAGTATCTAATATTCAATATGTACAATATTGAAAATAAATATTACATATTCAACAAAATATTTTATATTATCTTGTGAATGGTAAAACTTTTAACGTATGATAACAGAGTACACTACAATGAACAATTGATATATTTAGCAAACTTCCCATAAGGATGGCTGAACCGCACAGTCATTTAGGCTTAGCAACCCACGAACCTAAGCTCATATATTATACAGACATACACTGCGGTTATACACATACATTTACATTTACACAAGCAATTAAGAACTTTAAAAGGAAAAGTTTAAAAGTGCGAAAAAAGTAAAAGGAACTTTACAAGAGAGAATGTAAAATAGGCTCGTTACCAATGATATCTTTTTTTTCATTAATAAGAAAAATATTTAGCAAACTTTGATAGAATTGAGAGAAACAGAGTGCTTTAAAAGTATTATTTTTTTATTTTTGAAGTGAATGTAAATATACAAATAAAAATAAAATAATTAATGATTTTTTAGTTTTGAGATGAAAATTGTGCACCTTTCTATAGATTAAAAAATTTTTTTATATCTTTATTTGAAAGCTTTAATTAACTTTTTAAGAATTCTAAGCCCAGAAAATTAATGCTGACTTAATTCGATCCAGATTAAAATGAAAAGTTATTCCCAGTTTTTATGTAACAAAAATATGACATCCTATATCGAATCCATGTTTTGTTCAGTCGTTGAAATTGTTTTTTAAATCTATTAAGAACTTTAAATCTTTGAACCTTTTAATAAAAACGCGAATCTAGTGAATACAAAACAAATATTAACAATAGCAACAGAAAGATTTGCAAATAGGTAAGAAAATTTAAAGTAAAATAAATATTTTGATATAAATACACGCATAAGTACTTTTGATTCTATCGTAAACTGTATAAATTTTTTATATTACATACAGAAGATTATTTTACAGAATATAATCAAACATCATTTTTTTATTTTTGAAAACGCTAAATAGACTCGGAAAGAATGTTAGAATTGAAATGATAAAATCTCAGATACGATTATAATATGTAAATGTATCAAAAAAATATATGATTGATAGTAATAATTAGATATTTCTGACGCCATTGTCGGTTGTTGTTGCGGTTGATACTTCGAACCGGAACGACATATGGACAAGTATCGATTACAAACGGAGAGCTACTAATTTAATATCGGGATCGAACGTAGGGCTGTTATAGTTCCGCGTTGACTCGCATATTGTCTCTCAGTAATGCCGAGAGAAGACCGTTGGCCGGACGTGTTTTTCTCGCTCGTGATTTTCAACTGGAAGCATGTGGAGCCACGTATTGATCTCGATCGTAGTCCTACTAACGTCGTTACTTTATCATTATCATTTTAACGAGCCGGCCAGCATTATCGATCACCCCGAAACGCATTACGACTACGTCATCGGTAAGTTCGTTTCCCGGTTTACGCTTATCGGGTCGCCGGTATTTTCGCCCCCCGCGATTTCAGCACTCCTCCTTCCGTTGATGCTCTGAGTTACGCATCGATTTTTAATCAAAGAGGATTTGCGCGTGTCTTGCAATGACAAATCACATAGTACTAGATTGATAGGCACTCTAGACGTCCTAAATGGACGAAAAGTATCGGTTACAATCTGCTTTTGCTGTACATAAAATTAAGGTATTAAATTGCTTTGATTATTTTGAATACACACTTTTGGCAAATGTTAAAAAAATAAAAAACAAAAGGTTTATTTTTTAAATTTAGATTTGCACTCTTGAAGTTTAATTTGACAAATTTTTACGTAGTCAATGTTTCGTATTACTGATAATCACTTTTGCGTAGCGATAAAAAAGTGCTAAATTTCATAAATAATTTACGATATAAATTTCTCGTTGCCGCTGGATTTAAGTTGGCGCTGGCACGTCTGGTTGCGTGATCGCCTCAAGGCTCTCGGAAATGTCGAACGTGACTGTTCTGCTCGTGGAAGCCGGTGGACACTTCGGGTGGCTCTCGGCTATGCCGCTTTTAGCACCAATGATGCAGGGCAGCGAGGTCGACTGGGCATATAAAACAGAGTCGCAAGTTTTCTCATCCCGAGGACTCGACGGCTATGTAAATTAAAGTTCTATCTTCTGATAATTTTCTTCTGTACAAAAAAAAAAACGCGAGGACATTTTCTATAGCACTTTTTTGTACAGTAGAATTTTTACAGAAACAATTCACTATAAATTGATTATACAAACTTTTCACGCGAAGATAATTAAAAAATTTTAGTTATGCTTTAGTTAAATGTCATTATACTACAAAACATTTTATTGTAACGCAAAAGAAACATTTTGGAAAATTACATTCTCAATTTCGCGCGTGCTTTCGTCATTACGAGCTCCTTCAATCATCAAGTTTGTTTAGAGACAAAACTGGCCTAGAGGGAAGGGCTTAGGCGGCAGCGGCCAACTTAATTATCTCGTTCATTCCTTCGGGAGACCCGAGGACTACAAGAGATGGCCGAAGGGCTGGTCGCACGCCGACTTGCTCCCCTACTTTCAAAAAGTATCTGATATTATGAACGTTGTTCCGATGCCGGAGGAGGAGTATTTAACGAAGGCCTTCGTTCTGGCAGAGGAGTCCTTGAAACTAGAGAACGTTTCTTTACGAAAAGCGATGTATACTGCGAAAAAAGGAGCTCGTTGGAGCACGTACCACGCGTATTTGCAGAAGGCTTGGAATCGCAAGAATTTGCATATTCTAATGAATACGCTTGTCGCCAAGGTACAGTCATCATGATATTCGCACTGTAATTCTTGATAAGTTTTTTTTTCAGAACCAGATTTTACTTGTCAATCGTCACACTTAAAAATTTATGTTAAATAGCGTTCGCATATTAGCTTTTTAATTTTGTTTATATATATATATACTCACATCTTTGTCTTTTTTAATACGTGGCAGGTACTTTTCAAAAACAATAGAGTCAACGGCGTTAAAGTGATATATAAAAATGGTTCCTTCGGGAAAATTAGAGTAAAGAAGGAAGTGATCCTTTGCGCCGGTACTATCAACACTCCGCAATTACTTCTCATCTCGGGTATAGGACCGATCGATGAATTGGAGAAGCACAAGGTGGTAGATCAGAGTGTTGCTATCAAATTTTTCAATATTTTAAATAGAATGATAAATTCGATTCATAGATACCCGTGGTGCGAGATCTACCGCAGGTAGGCCGGAATCTGTTCGATCATTTGAACGTGCCCCTTTACGTGAATCTGCGGGAGCGAGTCAGTATCACGCTCGCAAAATTGCTAACTGTGCCCGAGGTGTTCAATTATTTCGCCTTCGGAACCGGTATGTGAAATAACACGCCAATGACGCCGCGATCGTTTGTTCGCGATGTCTATTGACGCATGCCGCGCGGTCGATGTTGTAATTCCGCTCTATGTATACCCTTTTCTCGATCGCATGTTAAAGGATGGTTGGCCACTAACGGCGTAATGGGATTGGGGCGCGCTAATAACAGTGGCCTCCTTCTCTTCGGAGTGGCGTCCACGGAGGAAAAGTTGTTGAAGGCCATCTCAAATTTGGAGACCGAGGTGATTGAACCAATCGGCAGCTATATATACATATATTTATTTTCACTTTTAAAATCGTATTTCGCAATTTTTTATTTCGACAAAAAAATACTTTGGCACAATTGTACATTTTATTTGTAACGATTATAATTTAATTGACGCTATGTTGAGAAAAAAGATTAATAATCGATTATTAGACATATAGGTCGCTGTTCCCGTCGTATAACGACAGTATGCATGAGGGATTCGTTTATCTCGTCTCATGCCTTCAACCCAAGAGTCGCGGAAGTATAACATTGAGATCGAATGATATTCATGACTCGCCAAAAATTAATCCTGCGTATCTTCAAGATCCTTACGACGTCACGTGCACGTATCGAGGTAAGCGTGTGACCGTTTTACCAAAATTTTACTTTCAGAAAGTAATTTTATTCTGGAAAAAGTTTAATTCTAGAATTCGCTTACGTTTTATTTATTTATTACTTAAATTTATGTAAATAAATAACAATTAAGTTTGATTTTTCGGTAAGCTATAAACTTTGCGCTTGAGACGCTCAATACGAAACTCTTTCGCGAATACGGTGCGAAGGTCCACGTTCCCGATTTCGAGGAATGTCGTCATTTACGACAGGACTATCAGGACATCAATTATTCGGAGTGTGTTATGAGAATCGCAGGACTCACGAGTCATCATCCGTGTGGCACATGCAGGATAGGCGCGGATGATGACGCGGTTGTGGATGAGGAATTAAGGTAAAAGATAGGGAGCACATTTATTGTGCAGGACGTTTTACGAGATGACGTCAAAAGGAGTAATCGTAATAAAAATATAATTTCGCTCTCTAGGGTAAAAGACGTGAGTGGATTAAGGGTAATGGACGCCAGCGTGGTGCCGTCTCCAATTTCTGGCACGCCGAATTCTGTTCTCGTTGCGATGGCCGAGCGCGCGTCCGATATAATTTTGGATCGAGCATTTAATTAAGGTTTGATTAATTTTTATGTAATATATATATATATATATATATATGATACATTATTAAAAAAAAAATAATAATAGGAATTTCATGTAATTCATTGATTACAATTCGTCGTTGATCAGGGAGTTTAGGGATAAGGGAAGAATGATCGAGTACGCAAAGTGAAAAATGTCCATAGTGCTCCAAGTTTTTTGTAATTTATAATTAATGGTAAAGTTTTCTTTTGTTTTACAGTAATCGAACAGTTATTAATATTCTAATTAAATTTCGATTAATTTTTATACAAACAAAAAGGGTGAGTTACACTCAACGGCATAGCCACGAATCCCTGCCACCCCGTCCGCGCTCGGAGTATAAAGAAAAAAAGAAACTTAATTTTTTTTTACACGCTCCCTCTCCATGAGGGGTTTCTTTCACCCCAGTTCCCGTCCGGGATCGTTTACGATGGCAGAGTTTCGACGTTTTTCCTATCCCATTTCCGCATCTCGCTTCTCTCTCTCTCTCTCTCTCTCTCTCTCTCTCTCTCTCTCTCTCTCTCTCTCTCTCTCTCTCTCTCTCTCTCTCTCTCTCTTTCTCTTCTCTCTTTTCCACGCGCATATCCGCAAGCACAAATACATTCCTCTCATCCTTCCTGTTTTCCTTTCCGTCACAAACGAATTCGTATTCTGTTTCCTCGCATCGATTGCTTCTCTTCTCTAGCTCGCTCTCTTTCTCGCAAACATTCACTCACACACATACTCACATACACACGCGTCCCTGTCGCCTCTTATAAATAAAATAGTTCGTGAATATAACGCGAAGTATTCGTTTTTCGCATTTTCGAAAACGCAACTATGCCCGATGCGCGATTCGCTCATACCGCAGATAGACGAGCCCTTTCGGGGTTCTCGCATCTGTATCTTCTACTCCTCCTCGCCTTCCTTCTCTTTCACCCTCATTTACAGCAATAATTCGTAACGTAAACTTAATCTCTCAACTTAAAACAAAATTGGTAACCACGTAATCGCGGCGCACGCCGCGAGCCTCGCGCTCGCCTCGGAAAAAAACTCTCTCTCCTTCAACAGATTTCATCCGCGCGAGGAAATAAAAATGAATACGAACAAAAACAACGCGACACGAGTCGAACGAAAAAGGGATCTATAGATCGAGCTACTCCCTCGGACACCTGCGTACGATTCAAGCATCGGTGCCGATGTGACGCAGGAGTATCGAGAAATCGCAGTTGATTCGCGTTGATCTGACTCGGCTCTACGTAAGTCGACTTAATGGCGAATCCGATTATGCAATCACACGTTCTCTTTCTTATGCCAGAATCAAACAAGGTCAGATTAACGAGAAACACGCGGGACTTCCCGCGAAAGCGTTCGGCTATGTGTTTACGGGCCACGAACGGCATTTCCGGCGTGCGGAAGAAGCTCGCCGGACGTGCACCGCACCACCGGATGCGTAAACGCCATATTTTTCTCTTTGCTTTTTTTTACTTTTTATTTTACTATAGATAGAACTCTTGTTTTTTTTTTTTTAATTCCTTCGTAAGAGAGGTGTGCAGTCGCATCGCGGGACCACGACGACGGGGAATCACTTAAGATCTAAACAAGTATTCCTTAATATTAGATATATAACTATCTCTATTTATATGTATATATATATGTATATATATATATACTTCTTCATATATATATTTATATTGAAAAAATGAGTGTACTCTCTCGTTATCATTATAGGGATAGATTATCGATTAATTTGCAATTGCGTGTAACATAGACGCGTCCAGCGCATAGAAACATAAATAAATAAATATAAACGGATATATTTACATTTATACTCGGATAAAGGAGGGGGAGGGTATGTGATATCGTGGAAGGTCCAATGGGTATAATTATATATATTCCCTTCTCTATTTCTCTCTCTCTCTCTCTTTCTCTCTCTCCCTCTCTCTCTCTCTCTTTAAATATATATGTATTTATATATATGCATATTTACGTATAAATCTCATTCGTCTGTTGCCCACTGTGTCCGGTGCCGGCATATCTACGACTTCACCTCCGCCGTAAATACGCGGCGATTATAGAAAAAAACGAAGAACGAAAATAATACTTCGCAGAAACAGAGGAATCGAAGGACCGTAGATGATGCGCGAATAACTATCTCGATATATATATATATAAATATAGATACGGAGTTTGAGGTAGAAGCGGTTTCGTATACTTATCAATATGTTGTATCATCATGTGTGCGTTTGTGTAAGCGTTGGTGAGGTCTTGATTATCAGTATTCTCCGAGTACTAGACAAACAACTTGCGATCCAACGAAAAGCTCGCGTTTCTCCGCCACCGATGTGGCGTCGATTATTAAAACGAAAAAAAGGTACAAAAAAAAAAAAAGAAAATGAAAAACAAAGAAAACGGAAACGAAATCTGGCAATTGCTCATTGATCAGAGAAGGAGAGGATTTCATTGATACCGATGATGATTTTCGCGTTCATTGAGACGAAACGGAAAACGGAGTGAAGCCTTAATCTGCGTCTATGTTGTACGGAATTCCCATCTTTTTTTTTTTTTTTTTTTTAAAGTAACCACATTACGTTCTAGGCATATATTATAAAAAAAAAAATTATCAAACTCGGTGGGATTGAAGCGACGTGCCTCAGTTGGCCGGCTAAACCGGAAAACGGAACAATCGATCGGCGACGGGCCGATTACTATACGAGAGAAAAGGAAAAGCAACATCACTGGACGAGAAGAAACGAGTTAACGAAGAATAAATATATATTGTAGTAACGAGAACATTTTTTCGCGCGTTTAATGCGCGAGAGAAAGATTCGCGTAGAGCCGCGTGATAAAGAAACTCGAGAAGCGCGCGTGGACCCGCTATAGATATATATTTATATATATAATTTTTAATATATATTATATGTGTGTTAACCGCCGACACGCGCACGAGAGAGGCCGTGTCGTACGGGAAAGTCGCGAGAGAAAAATCGGCGATAGAAATCCGGCGGTGATTTCCGTGGCGAGCGATTCGAAGAATTGACGCGGCGGTCATTAACGAACTCCCGGCGATATACACATCAGAGAGAAAGGGTGTTTAACGAACGAACACACCGACACAGTTCCTACTATACACCCGACTATTGCATCGCTTGATTCATTGATTTATGTTTATTAAGAACCTTATCGACTATTATACTTTGTAGTTTGTACTTGGTTTTCATATTCCTGAGAGGAGGACTCGCGGCGCGCCGCGCGCCGCGTCGGCGTTCTCGGGGTGCCCCGTCCGACCATCGGCAGTCTTTTTCCACTGCTTCCTCTCTTTTCGCCGCTCCCCTTCCCGAGACGGGACCGACAGCGGCGGCGCGACGCGCCGATCCGGATCCAATCTTGCAAACTATCGCTTTACTGTGTTATTTACAGAGATTTTCGTAATTCTTCTTCATCCTGTGCGCACCCTGTATGTCGTGTGTGAGGTAGCATTTGTACTAGTGTGTGATACGAAGTATTGTGATCCGTTTATTGCCGGCGCGGCCGCGGCCGTTTGAGCGCGTCGACAACGAAACTCCGTCGCTGAGGTCCCGCCCGGCCTCTGTGGCAGTGTTCTCGCATACGTCGCCACGATGGGAGATCAGTCTTATTGTTTGATAAGATGAGGAAACGGGCGCGAAAGATAGGCGCATCCGAAACGTCTCGCCGTCGAGCGCCCGTGCGGATCTTCCGGAGAATCGTCACTCGGCCGATCTTGTCGAGCGTTCGACTTTCGACGCTTCGGACGAGACTTTATTGATGAGGTAATACGGGGATACGGCGAAATCGTCATCGTGATCGTGAGCGGAGGCCGATCGTGCGGAACGGTGTCCTCGGCGAACGAGCTCGTCCCCGACGCGTTCGGCCGCGCGGCGCGCGCTTGGTATGCTCTCTTCCTTTTATGTATTACTTATAAAATTTACAGCGTGTATAGTAAGTTTACAAAATCCACACATCCTGCCTTTCCCGTTTGTTAACCCTTAAACATTACGTTTACTTTGTACTATAAGTCGCGGCCGGGAAACGTGCCGCTCGTCCCCCGAACATTCGAGGTCCCGCTCTGCGACATCGCTACGCCGTGTGTTTGTTTCTTATTCTTTTCTTTGTCCTCTTCCGCCTCATCTCCTTTTTGCTTTTTTTCGTTTTTTCTCTTTTTCTTTTGCTTCGTCGATTTTAAATATGCGTGCGTGATACATGTAATCATTATCAACTACGGTATAGTACTATTATATACTATACGAGCAAACGGTACAGTAGTTGCCAGTGCACTCTCTGCGCGCGGTGTAAGGTGCAGTGATGACATCAATTTTGCTCCCTTCCTCCCCTCCCGCGGGCAGCCGCGATTTCCTTTTTTTTTTTCAACTGTCCTGGAGCTCGCTGCCCGCGCGACGTCAATGGTAACGAAGGTTTCCCGTTGCGGAAGGCAACTTGTTCACACCGTGACAATCGTCCGTTCGGGCAAAACTCGAGCGTGCATTTTCGAATTTGCAACCGGGCCTAATTATTACAATTTAATATCGTTGTAATGTAATATTTTTTTCAGATCAATTGCCTTTAACGTTTACAGAAAAGATCGAAAAGATGCAACGCTTACGCTTTTCTCAATTTGGAAGATTTTATTATCCGATTGGACGAATTTGGAACCGAGCAATGCATCGTGGAAAATCCAAATCACTCGAATTCTTTTTTTTTTTCGATAATCAGTTTTTCTTTTCGCGTTGCCCCGAAAAGCGCGCTCGAGCGAGCCACGGTGTGAATTTCCCTCACCTCTCGTGTCAAGCCTTGTGTCACACACGACATCTATAAAGGATTCTCAATCCGTAAAACACATATTATAGAAACAACATGCAACATTTTATCCTACGCCGTGATACAATAATGGTACATACATACGTGTCGCGCGAGTGTCGTGTGTATGTGTGTGTATGTGTGTATATTCGTGTTCTGCGTGTACATATATATACATATAGACCAAGTATAATTTTTACACCAGGTATACCGGACCCGACGACCGCGAAAACTTCAACGAAAGCGCGTTTTGACTTCCAGCCGCGGATCCCACTTACGCGTATCTCGACAAGAATCAATCGCAACAACGAATCCAAAGTGTCATCCCCGAGTCGGCGACTCGGGGCTGACGCGAACAAAATTGAAAAGAATTTCAAAAAAAATAAATTTTGTAATCATTCAAAAGCGCAACATTCGACACTTTTGAGCAAAGTGACGCGACGAAATCAGCAGATCAATTCAGAAGGTCGAATAAAACGCCGATTTTCCGAAAGATGAAAGAAAGTCCATCCTGAAAGAAATATGCAAATTCCGGAAGAAGATACATTTACACGTATAGCCGAGGTCGCGATAATATACGACTAATCCTAAATTCATTTTAATTCTACATTGATTATCTTTTAGGTACGTGTGTCATTTTTTTTCTTTCTTTTTGTAATTCCGTCGACTGACATTGTCTTTCGCTCTTTTTATGTGCTGCGTTATATGTGTACGTTTGTATGTCTGTTTGTGTGTGTATGTGTGTGTGTGTGTGTGTGTGTGTGTGTATGTGTATATATGTTTCTCATGTAAGTGTCGGGCGTGAAATACCTTTACTACGTATGCACTCCTAATTCTTACGTATGACAAAACAATTAAACCCTGGGTTTAACCGACTCCCTCCCAAAAAAGTTCCGCGTTCTGACGTTATTACGCTAACTTTCAGAATTTCGCCGCTCCACTTGCCGATAAACTCGAGTCTCCTACTTCTTAAACTTAACGCTAATTCATTGTACCACTTAAAGGTATCCTCTTCCCCCCTCCCGCCTTTGCCTCTGCTTAGCAGAACAGCCGAAAACAATATATATATTTATCTTGTATATATATTATATATATAAGTAAAAGATTCACATTATAACTTGGCATACGCGATCATACCTATTTACACGAGCGTGTGTCTGTGTGCCATCCACCTGTGTAACTCCCTCCCTTCCTACCTCCCCCCCCCCCCAACCCAACCTTCCGTGTACAGAGTGTGTACGGGTGTGTGCGCGTGTGTGTATGTTCCTATCATCACATACGTAAACGACACATAACATCTTTGAATATCCTTCCCGCGGTCTCTTCCTACCCGGGAATCAACTTCCCTATGACTATGTAATCTCCGTCGTCCAGCATCATCAATCCCATCTCCGGTTAAACTTCGTGCGCCCTCAAGACAATCGGCGTAAATCCGAATAAAATTTTTCCTCCACCAATTCGTTTTTTTTTGTTTGTTTCGTCTTGTTTCTCACAAGCGCGTCGGCGCGTCCTCTCGCCGATTTTCCCGGCGATCGACACTCGCTTTTCCACCGCCCTCCTCATTTTTCATCACCTCCTCGCTTTTTTCCCCGGGACGAAGAACGGTGTGACCAAAACGTGCGACCATCCACGCGCGGCGTGTCCAAAACGCGCGGACGACGCGTACGCAATTTCGACAACGGATCTCGCAATGTGCTCCTTCCCCCGAAAACTCGTATTCCATGACTCTTCACGCATACTCTGTGTACGCACTCGCTCGCTCTCGCGCTCACTCACTCCTCGCTACGGTTTACAGTTGTACATACGTGCTGTTATTTTAGCATAATGCGCTTTTGCGATTAAAAAAAAAAAAAAGAAGAAAACGGATCTGTCATACGTACAGATAGATATCACGTGCGATCTGAGGATCTCGGAGCTTTCGTATTGGCGAATTCTTTCAGCGGGACACGAGAATGATTGCAAACGGAGAATAAGTAGATTTATCGAACGTATGTACGTATGTACGCTTGACTAGTGTGAATCAATTTCTGCGATTGAAGAAGAAGGAATGAATTAGGATTGACAGATGGAGAATTCGCTGAGGCGGCTCCGAAATCCACGATCTTGTGTCACCCAGTGTCAGGGTAGCAATGGCAGGAGAACTGCTTCGACGCTAACAGGACGAAGTAGTATAATAGTAGCGGCTGTACGGAATGTACAGGTTTTTATTATTTACGGTATAATCGCTATTATGTTCCCTGTCTGTGTATATGTGTGTAATGCATTGCAAAACGATGAGGTAGTACTGTCATACTTTTGGCAGAGTATGCGCGCGCGTGCGCGACGAGTGCTCTCGCGTATTTCAGCATTCGAAAAAAAAAAAGAAAAAAAGGAAAACAGAAACAAAAAGAAAAAAAATTAACTCTCTCCGGTTTCTATACTATTGTATCTCCAGCTCGCGCACGACGCTTTTAAATACTAAATAATTCTCTATATCGTCTCTATTGTCTCTGATAACTTACGGTAGGCGGTATCGTTGTGAGAATAACCATTTAAACTTTCTGCAAAAAAAAAAGAAAAAAATAAAGGGGAGAACAAGTAAAACGGAAAAAAAAAATAAAGAGAGAATCTGTATAAAGTGTAAATACTGTAACAAGTAATATCGTGGGTGCCATCCTGACTAGGAGTATATCTCTATATATCTATACATATAGGTAATGTGTAATATAAATCTATTGCATTGATCACATCTTATACAACCGGGATAGCAACTATTTTCCGCGCGCGAACCGCGCGCACTATTTCCTTTCACGTGATCGATGGCTATACTCTATAATTCTCGGTACGCGACTATTGCTCCGGACAAAAGTCCGCATTTTAAACATTGTAAACAGGTAACAAAGTGGTAGTGATCGTTTCGCCGCGGATGCGCCGCGCCGCGAACCAACTTCCGTGGCGAACGCGTGGCAATTGACGAGCGGCTGACGCGCGCTTTGAGAAGAGAAGGAAAAAGCTGAAAGATCGATATCGACGCGGTAGTGCGACGATGTATGAACGTGATTATTGCTCGATCGACTTGTTGCCGTTCGCGTCGTCGTCATGCGCATTCGCCAGGAAGTTATCTATCGGCGGTCGCGCGCTTCCCCGCGGCTAAATCGCATGACAGTCGTCCGCCCTAGAATCGCAGTAATATCGTAAATGTCATATATAAAATCGCATCTGTATAAAAAGGGTGCGTATCGTCGGGTGTCATCTTCGGGCGCGATTTTCCGGATATGTGTGTCACATTTTTTGTTGCGTATGCGTGCGTATGCGAAAACGGTGAAAAACCGAAAGCTGATAGGTGTGAACGGCCCAGAGTAAAAAAAGCGTCCAGCGTTTTTGGCACTGTGTGTGCGCGAACGCGCGTGTCGTAACGATATCTCCGATGGACATCACCCAACGGACGTCACGATCCTATAGGCTCGACTTCTCAACAGCGATGATAGTATCAGAAATATTGTATATATCGGTAAATAACGGCGTTAACGATTAAGATGCTACGGCGAGTAAATCCGATCTATGGTAACGTTGAGCTATCAAAAAGATCAGCGCTCTGTCTCCGTCGCGCTGCGCCTTGTGCCGCGATTTCTTTAAGATTTACCTGAGTTTGCATTGTTCTCTCGTCGCAGTCGCCTGCGCTTGTGTGACTCTGTGAAGTGTCGTGCTTATTTCGCGCTGCGTTCGCTCCGCTCTTTACCTTCACTCGCCAACTCTCGCCCGTGAAAAAGCTTCTAGTTAATAAATCCTTACTTGACCGTTGCACTTTCATTGACTAGCTTTGTGATTCGCAGCATTTTCGCGAGCGTGCCTCCGAGGAATGCGCTGTGCGCATTGCGTTCTTTCTATCTCTTTCTTCCGTCCGTCAATCGAATCTTCACGATCGCGTTCCTCGACGATGCCGAAGAGCGCACGGGAAGAGGTCGTTCCTCTCGGGCGAGGAACCGGGACGGCGTTCGCTGACGACGACGACGAAGGGAAAAACGAAGGTACCTACTGCAGCTTCTCCTTTCGTCTCGTTCGCTCTACCCGCGGCGCGATCTTCGCGATCGGCTCCAGCGAGTGATCACGGGACCGCTGGTCCCGATACCACCGCGCGCGGACCGCGACGGCGACCGCGGTGGCGACGACGAGGACTTTGTTACTGCTGCATGCTATCCGAGAGCGAATGATTGGACTGTGGGAAGAGCTTCATGTTGTTGTCTTCTGAGTTGCAGTTAACCTTATGCTCTCGCGCGATGTGCCGCCTGACAGTGTTATTCCTGGTGAATGTCCGCGAGCAGTACGGACACGGCACCCTGATGCCCTGGTGACGTTGCCGTATGTGAGCGCGCAGATTCGTCTCGTAGCCGTACAGTCTCTCACAGTAGGGACACTTCAGTTTTTTACCTGCGGAGAGAGAAACATCCGTTTACAAATCGGTACCAACGATTTTACTCAATGCTGTAAAATGGTTCTTCAAAGACAAATAATAATCATAGAGAAAGTAATTTTGCGATAGCGAAAGAACTGTTAATTATTATTAATTAATATATAAAAATCTTTCGGCCTCTTTAGCTTTATAAAGGACTTTTGATTTTTATTTCTTTCTCTGTCATTGTTTAATTTTGTTGTTATTCGCTTAATTCGCATCTATGTGTTAAAGACGGATACAAATACGCGAATTGAGTAATAAATAAAATCGTCGCCTGTACGACGCAAACGCCATACGTCTTAATGAAAAGACAGACGTTATTCGATACATTTCGATACATCGGAGCTGAAATATATTAATAGACACAAAAAAAAAAAAGAATATCTCACGGCGGCGATACACAAAGAAGTGTAAAGAAAAACATTTTTCTCTTCCGAGCGGAGTTAGAGTTTTTTTTCACGATCGCTCGATTTACTTGATATCGCCTCTAAGCTAATCATAGCTATTGCTCGCGCGCTGCGTATATACGCGCGAAACCTTCGTGGAAGGAAGCGTGGATGCAGATTGCGCAACCCGGCCTCTCTTTTTTTCTTTCTCTCTTTCTCGCACACATACACAGTTTTTTTTCGCCCGCGCAGCCGCGCTTCGCCATTAGTCCCATCGGCGAGAAGAAAACAAAGTTCGGGCTCAGGCGGACGATTCATGGTGGAACATTAGGCCAATGCCTCCGAGATTGTTGGCGCGTGCAAGGCCAACCTCGGGTTCCACGAGCTTTAATATACTTCCTATCCAGTCCGATTAACTTGCGCTCGAAGTACCATTTACGACGATCACCGGCTCGGCCTTCTCGCTACGCGCCAACGCGCGCAACCGATCGTGCTGATAAATAATTTTCATCATGCGCAATATTTTCAGCGCTTCCTGCATACCTCTCTCTTTTACGCTAAATTCCTAAACTTAGGTAGTCGGAATTTTTCGATCACCTTTGGTTATTATATTGGATTTTTTATCAAATTAATATTCTTTCACGAACGTTTCTGTACTATCAAATATTGAGTTGGATTTTTTACTGTAAAATATTTGAAAGAGACGAATCCCAAAAAGAATATAGCGGTTAGTTGATTGTATATTTTGATGTAAACTGGCCATTTATTAAATATAACACAGCGTACCTTTGAAGGATCTACGTGATGCGGAAAAAATAAGAATAACCAAGTATTAAAATTCAGCAGAAAAATACTGTTCGACTCGTACAATGCGATATCTGGGACAAAAAAAAATCCGAAATTCTTTGCCCAATGTCATTAGCGTTAGAGAAACTGACGATAGCGCGGGCTGACCGTGACACCGATCCTCATCACAATGTAGCAAGAAGCTCTTTGTGAGGCCGAAAAACTGCGCACTGTACCAATGACATTTTGTCCGAGCGAAACGCGCATTAACTTGTACGCACGTTGCCCCATTTGGGATTTCTTTTTCTTTATTCACAAAGAGATGCTGCGGCGGTTCTAACGACATTCTCCCGGCGAGTCGGTTCGTCAGAGCATCATCGGCGATGACGTCATTGCACGTGCGCGCATTTAACAATAATAACATCTTCCAACATAATTCCACGTTGAAAAAATCACGTTCGATGAATTGGCCGAAATCGCGTTCGCGTTTCTACGACCATAACTGAACGGGCCATTCACTAGCGGGCTGCGTGAGGAGGCCGCACCGTGTCATTATGGAAATTATATAGATTAATCGGGAACAGTTCGGCGGCGGGCCGAAAACAAAGAAAGGAACGTTAGACCGCCCACCATCAAAACCGTGCTCTCCGAAAGGATTCCTCGCGCGTTCCGAAGCATTCAAGTGTCACAAGAAACAGCAAAGAGGAGATGCGGGCGATGAGAAGACGTCGTGTTCGAACGAGCTGGTCACACGCTAGATCTTCGTAAAAATCGTTACAACCACATGCAACGCATAAATAATTGTGGGTGCGAGTGGAAGAGAGCGTATGCGTGTACGACGTAATAACCGTGGCCGGACAACTTCGTACGCAGAAATCGAACTTTGGAAATTTCCCACCGATATTCGAGTTCGAGTTTTTAATTTTTTTTTGCCAATTTTTATTATTTTTGTAAATTGGTGCACGCGTATTGTCATTTATTCAACGCCACGCTCGGATTCTGAGATTTATTTGTCTGATGCGAAAATTGTGCCCGGTGTCAACGTGACTGGGCGCGGAACAAACGACCGCATTTATCGTGAAATTCGCGCTGAAAATACGGGCGGATGACGATATAGCTGCGACGGTGAGATGACACGCGTGCGGTTAACAACGACGCGCGGAACCGCGCCGGCTTTCTCGGCGCGGACAGCGCCTAAAAATAGAGAGCCGTGGCATCGTAGAAAATGTAAACGGGGCCGCGGGGCAGCTCGGCCTCTCGTGCAGCTGACTATGAAATTCACAAAGGACCCGCGCGCCGGAACAAAGGCGCGCGTACGCGCGAAGACGCTGTAAGCCGGAAGAGAGAGAGAGAAAGAGGCGCGGCCGGCCGGCTGGCACCGAAGGAGGAAAGGAGAGAGAAAGGAAGCGAGTTCCCTCTCCCTCTCGCCGGTGGCGGATCATCGGCAGGAGAAAGGACGGGACGAAGCCGCGGGGTAGGTACGCCTCTGAAACATGCAGAAACGCAAAACGGTGCCGGCCAGGAAGCGGCACGACCGCGCGCTTCTGGGAAAGGTGCCCGCGCCATCTGCGCCGCCCAAGAAATCGCCGATCCGCCCGAGTCTCGTGTTTATCGATGATTACCACACATAGTTTCGTTCCCGAATGTATTAAGGTGTGAGAAAGAGAGAGAGAGAGAGAGAGAGAGAGAGAAAAAAGAGAGAAACAGAAAGAGAGTCGGTGCGGCGCCGAAGTTCCTCGGACGCGAATTCCGTTCTGCGCGAAACCCTTGAAGTCGAGGCACGCCGATCGAGAAGTGCTACAACGGAAAAGTGTTACTCGGAATCTACCAGAACGAATCTCATCTTTTCCCCTTCGCGTCGCGCGTTATTAAATCGTCCCGAAGGGTAGAGCGAACGCTCGTCGGAAAATAATTAAGCGATCCAATTAGTCTCCCGAGAGCCCGGGCTCTCGCTCGCGCCTCGAATTATCGTCACGTCCCGAAGCGGGCAGACGCTGAGAGTCGCGCGAGTTGATGGTCCGGAATGAGACGGAGGAAGTCGCGGAGCAATCTGGAACGCCGGGGCCTCCGAATTCTCGGAGGAATCGTGCGTGTTTGACCGAAGGGCTCGGGCGTGGTGGAGAGGGGAGGCTGGCGAAGGCGACGGAATAAGGAAAGAGGCCTGAGGAGAGGTCCGCGGGTGGGAGCGGTCGAGCGGGAGACGGCAAAATGGAAAGGTTACGTTACGAAACGCAGCAGCAGTCTCCAAGGTCTTTCCATTCCCCCGTCTCCCCTCACTGGCCACGGCGACCTGACCCTTTTCTCCCTTTTGTGGCTGAATGGATCGAACAAACGTGTAAGACGCGCGCGAAAAGTGACTCCCAATACACACAGCCCTACCGCAACGCGCGTCTTCGAGGCTCTGGACGTCGATCGATCGGCGAGACCGCCGCCGTCGCCGGCCGACCGTATCGCTGTTATCAGCGAGCGGCTCGTCCTCGGCCCACCGTCCTCATTTTCGGCCCTCCCGGATGCGTGGCGCGCGATCTCGCGCCTCCGCTGATATCTTACACGCTGACGCGTGCGTGAACGCACGCTGGGAAAATGGAGGACGGGCGGCCCAGAATCAAGATGGTATCATGTAATTCGAGCAGCTCGTGGAACGCGAAATAGAAATAAGGACGAAATAATCGGAATAATGATAATTCGTTTCGCGGCAGCAAATTCGTGATGAAAGGAGAGAGGAAAGACGAAAGAGATCCAACGGTCTCTGAATTCTATTATAGGGTTTCGTTATGTAGAAATCGAAGTCGACCGCGATTTCGGCCGAGCGTGCACCCTGCGGACGGTTAAAAACGCCGCGCGAAGAGGGATAGGAAGACCGTGCGTGTGTGGCGTTGTATCTCGCCAGGCCTTGACACATTTCGTTCGGTGGCGCCAAATTGGTCGCCGCTCGGGCGAGCTTCGAACGATAGGAAGAGGAACGCGGAGGAGGTAGAGGAGGCACGCAGGGCCGGAAGAGGGGAGCAGTGGGAGGGAGGGGGGGGAGACAAAGGGACGGGCGAGTAGGAAGGATAAGAGACCGCGGCGCGATAAGAGCGAGCGGGAGAGGCAATAATGTCGAGGATTGGTGCGAAGGAGAGGGGCCGAGGACTGAAATGGAGAGTGATAGAGGAGGACGCGGGGCGGGGCGGTGGAAAATCAATGTCAAGCAGCGTGCGTTGCAACCCGAAATCAAGGGGGAGCCCAGGCCTCCCCCGCTGTTCCTATCCCGGCTTGGCACTCCACGGTCGATTCTGCAAGGGATGGCGGTGTACGGCGTGCACCCCTCTCCCTTTTTTAACCCCTCCGAGACCGGAGTTGAACCATAACCCGCACAACGGTCCACTTCCCGCGCCTCTCGGAATCGCAATGTCCTTATGAGCTGCATACGATGTGTACTATCGCTCATATATCGGTATCGGCAGCGACTTCTCCGGAATTCTAAATAGAATAGAGATCCTATCTTCCATGCGTGAGTGACAAACCCGAGTGACTAACTCTCCGCCGCGATAGTATATGTAAACAGGCGCATGACTGACCTTGCAACAATGCTGTCTCTATTAATGTTGCTTAAAGTGAAAGTACGTTCCGATAGAAAGGCGACCGTCACTCTCTCCCTCTCTCTCTCTCTCTCTTCTGGAGTTCGTTAAAGCGTCTCGGCGCGGAGCACCGCTTTCCGTTTTCGAAATATCGCGATGTCGAGAGAGCGACGCTGTTGGGACAGGGAGTGACGAAGGTCTTCCTGACCTCCTCAGGGCCGCGGAGAGAGAATTGGCTTGTTGAAATTCTGGAATACTTTGGCCATCGAGTCAGCAAAGCGATTCGGCCTGCTCGTAAATAGTCAAGAATAGGAAGGATTTTCGAGGAAAGGCCTCCATTATGCATCTTAGCTTATTATGTATATGGTTGCAGATATATAAAGAATAAAAAACAGCAAAAAGGGTTGTTTTTATGATTGAAGAGCAACCCGAATAGCAAGAGGGTTGAAATTAAGAATAGAAGAATAAGCTGCAAAGAAATCATTTATATTTTTGTATTCATTGTGCCCCGTATTTTAAGAATAACACACTCATCTCTTTTCAGGAAATTCGGCTGACCGCAAAAATCCGTTTCTACTGCCGTGTAGAGGAATTTGGGGACTGCAATCTTCTCGGAATCCGCCGAATGGAATGATCAAGGTAAGAAATGCAAAATTCTGTTATTGCAAGTATAATTAATTTTTGAAATGAAAAAATCTACTTTCTTTCGCAATCGACTTCTTCGAAGGACGACTTTTAATACGGCAAGCAATTGCCAAATGTATTATAAATATTATTGTGCCGCAATAGCGAAGTATTACTGGCGTCGTGTAACTATTATCTCGACGCAACATTCGCGCGATTTATGTCTCCGAAGATTACGTTCGCCCACGTTCCACGACGACTCGTCACTTCCTCGACGCGCGGGCGTTCGTTCTGAAAAAGCTGCGTGTCCCCGAGCGTCTGCGAGTCCGCGATGAAAATAGTGTAGACATAATTTTCCAGCTGCGACATACGATTATACGATTCGCGCGCGCGAGAACGCCAGGTTGCGGCGTCACGCTCCTTCGCGCGGTTTATATTCGCTCGCACACAGCATCGGAGCTTATGCGTCCGAAGCACGCGAGATCTACGAAGTTTGGCGGCACGTGTACTAACACACCTACGGGGGCGTCGTTGCACACACGCAGCCTCTTGCACGCACGCATTCGTTATTGATTTGTACGCGCCGCGAGCGTGTAGGCCCGGCGCGAGAGCCGCGCGTCGCCCTACGACACGTTGCAAAAAATGCGAAGACCTTCTAAAATTTCTCATAACGATACCGAAGGACGTTTTCAGCATTATGCGTGAATAACAAATTTATTTTTATATCTCCCTCCTTGTTGATAAAAGGGGAATTTCATTAAGAAAAGAATAGTAAAAGTGCGAATTTTAACGCGAATAACAGAATCTATTTTTTTTTAAATTCGCTACAATCTCTCGTTGCGTAATAAGCAAAAAAATAATTGGCGATTATTTAAATTGCACGCAATCGGTGGCATCAATATTATTCGTATAACATATGTGGACGGTATATCTGATAATATTATTACTACATGGCGCGATTTGAATTGCAATTAATGATAGGCATAATGAGTCATTCATCGTGTACGGAATAATTTTGGCATAAACAATTTTGGCGAAAAGGCCACGTGTGACGGATTCGCCGGGCGAATTCACAAGACCTGATGGTGGTACTGCAGTAAATTTACACCCACGCCCGGCCGCCCAATTTGGCGATCCACCCCCACCTTCTTGCCACGAAAATATACGCGCCTGGGCGTCGAGCAGCTGGCGCTATCCCGCGTACGCGTCGCAAATCTCACGCAATGACGCAGCGCACGCGGTGCGCCGTATACACGCACGGAGCGCGTGAGCGTGCGTTACGCGAGCCTAATTCCCATGCCTGTGCATCGAGACAGAACCATTAACGCGTCGAGCGGCGTACGAATTTCACCCAGCTTTGCGAAACCCCGAAATTGCGAATTCATTTTTACCTGAGAAATTGTGAATTCATTTTTACAGCAAGTATATGCAATTTTTGGTAAACATCCTGTTTCGCTCGAGATAATCTTATAGATTTGATCTAGATCAAATAACAATTGTGAAAAAAAATATTATCAAGACACACGGATCAAGCGATTCGCTCATTTCGAGGAACATCACACGCCGGTCGTGCGTACGCATACGCGTGAGACCTGACCCACTCCACCGGTCTCTCGTTGTAGAGCAGCCGCGGTTCCCTCTTCTCACGCACGATGCAGCAACGATAAGAGAGAGAGGAGGCACGACCGAGCCAGCATTTGTCCTTTGTGTGTAGGAAAACCTGAGCCGGGGAGGGCGCGGCGAGGAACGGAGGATATCCAACGAAGATAGGGTTACGCATATTGTGCGTGGGCGGAGGGTAACGCCGGTTCGCAGCGCCCGTTGTTTTATTCGAACCTCGCCGCCGGTGCGAGGAGTATGGTAATAAAGCTTGCGGAAGAGGGGGTTCGCACACGAAGGGGGGGGGGGGGGAGACCACAGTTCGGCTATTTTGTCCTTGCGCGCGGAGGAAGCGTCGAAAAAATGCGTCGCTCGCGACGACAAAAAATTCGGCCCTCGAAGGGGGCTGCTGGCGATTAATGAAAATGAATGAAAAATTTATGGCCGCGAATATCGACGAGGCTTTGTCTGGGCTTCCGCGAACACGCGGGTTCGTACAATGCAATTTATAAATAAAAAAGAGAAAAGTGAAACGAAGTAATTAGAATGATAAAACATTAAAGGCTGGACGATCAAAAGTAATAGAACAAAATTTTTTAATCGGAAATCATAAAAGGAAAAATAGTGGATGCGAGTCGATGTGTTTTATAACTGTTAATTCTTGGCATGAATAGCTGGATATTTTTATAAGACAGTTATAGGTCATTGCTCGATAAATAATCGAATAACCACTACTTCCGTGAAAATGATGCTTCTCGATTCCGTTAATAACACGCGTGGCAATTACCGTCATTAAACGATACGGATATGTGCGAACAAATTACGAGCGCAACATTATGCAAATTACAGCCTTTGCCGTACCGCATGTTTAATGCCACGAATTGGAGTGCGATTAAATTTTGCGATTTAATTGGGTACATCCTCCGATGCAAAGTGCGTTTTTCTCACGGCCTTTATGAAGCTTTCGGGCTCGGTGTCTTAAAACTTTGCCAATTATTAAGCAGCGTGGAATTGTATTTTAATTTGCCGACGATTTATTTCTCGCGAAAAAAATTCTCTTCCAGAAATTTATATCGCCAGTTCCGATTATTTGTCGAATGCGATTTAACTTTAGCGAGTCGAGTAACGCAACTACATATATCGATCCGATTCCATCGCGTACATAAATAATCGTCGCCCGTAGCACGTCGTTTATCAACAATTCCACATCTATCGTATGCCGATAATGGCCATTATTCTGCTTAATAATGCATATCCATATGTTCGTGGGCACACATTTGCGTTACACCGGGTGTATGCTATCATCAATTCACGAAAAACTAGACCTTCAGCGAAAGGAACGAGCGCATTTCGTTGTCTCTTTTTTTGTTTTTTTCGGCTGCGTTCCTTCATTTATCAGTTTGCTCGTACGAGCGGGTGCTCCAATGGCCTTATCATGAATTATTTCGTGACCCGAATTCAGTGTTGTATATGCCGCGGATACTCTGCCTCTCTCATTCTCTCTGTCTCTCTCTCCCTCTTTTTCTTCCATCGTCGGTGGTCTAACGGTTAATAGCGAGAGCTATACATGTCACAGTTCGTGTGCGTGCGCGCGTGACAAAACAATACGTGCAGCCGAGGAGTTTTCGTGCTTGGCCCCACGAGGAAAAAAAAAAACGCGAGGCACTACGCCATGCGTGTGTGGGCGACATCAAGATTGGGCGTTATCACAGGCCAACCAGATGATCGTATCTCGCTCGTCCCCCCTTGCCCTTCTCCTCCTACATTTCTGCGCCTCGACCTACTGAGAACACGTACGTGCAATCGTTGCAATCGTTACGACACCGATGATAAGCCCGTTTTCGCGTGGCATAACCAGTTTCGATTTCCTGATAGCTGTAATGCGCGTTTAGATATCGCTATATATAAGTATACGCGTTGTATTTTTTTAACGACGAAAAAACTAATATTTTGCCAATATCGAAAGATAATATTTTTTAAATTGTAGTCAACATTGGCTTTTCGCTACACCAACCAAATCAATAGGAAACACATTCGGTACGTGCGCAGTTAGAAAAACACGCTATGGAACGATATATATTTGTACGTACGTATGTAAACGTACGAACTTTCATACGAAGGAACTTTATTACGTCGTGAATTCCGCGAATTTGGACATTCTTCAATTGTAATCGATCTCTCAGATCTGAGCGAGGATTAATGTTCGATACATGGAAGTCGCTTTGTCCTCGATAGCCGCGCGATAGTGCGACATTATTGTCGCGGTGAGTGAGATATGGCTTATTTGTCGAATAAGCGACCGTAACTCCGAAGGGCAGATAATAATTTCGTGCAATCTACGAAGTAATCGAACAATTTTCGGCCGCGGTCGGACGGGCGGCCTCTAATTCGGGTTACTGCGATTCTACCGCATACTACCGCCCCCGCTCGATCAATACGAACCGTTGGGGATGTCTATCATACCATATTCTGGCCGCACTCCTGTCAAATGCTACGTTGGATACTTGGTGAATATCGATCATGAGTTTACGCGCATAAATATTTCTGTGTTTACACACTTATACGTTTCTTCGCGCGTGTTAAATATAAAATTCGTCTTGTTTTATTCATGATGCCTCGGCCGAGGCACCGTAGACGATTTCAGGAAGTTCGACGGGCACGCGTGAACGTTTTCTTCTCCGAACATAATTTGCAGCGAAGAGAACGGCCGGCTCGTGCTCTTCTAACTCTCTTTCTAAAACACCGCACGCCTGGCCATGACACACATAGCAGCCAGTCTTTCGCATCCTCTCTCGAGAACGTCCAAACAGTCTAAACTCATAACTCACGAGGGATCTGCTGCCTTGTCTTAGGAGGGAACCCGCTATTTTCTCACGTCTCGAAAATAGCTACTTTTATTGGCAACGTCATGTACAAAGGGCCGGTTGATCGATTTGATTTTAGTTTACATCGTAAATAAAAAATGGAATGAATAAAAAATTACATCAAATAAAATTATCCCGTATTTTATTAATGCATGCGAAATCGTTTATCGATATCGAACCGACAAATTGAACCGACTTCGATTTACATAGCAATGAAAAAAAAAGACGATTAAAGAAATGAAAAAGTAGATCGAATATAATTATTTCGTGTTTCGCTAATGACGTAACGTGTATGGAATAATTCGTTTATCGGTACGAATTGAACAATCCGTTGCGAGGCGGGCACGAAAATAGGACATGCATTTCATTATACATTGTTTCAAAGTCTTGATGTAACGGAATCAGCGTTTAAATAGCTGTGTGTAGGAAGGAAAGCTAGCGCGGTTGCATGATTTTCGACGCATTGCCGCAACGTAACGGGCGAAAGCTTCGTATTCTTCTTGTGCAACAATTTTCGGCGATGGAAGGTCTCGTGACGACGACAGCAGAATGCCGTGGCGAGGCTGAATTGCGTCTAATCGCTTCTAAGAAGCAGCTAGCCCGAATGAGCGGCCTTCTTTTTAAATAGCATGTAATGCTCGCGTGCATATACACATGAAACTCGGGGAGAACGAAAAATTATATAATGCAATCACCGAACAATCAAATTTAGATATGAAAATTTATATAAATTTGTTCAAGAATATTAAATAGAAATTTTTAATTATATTTATCAAGAATTTTGAAAAAAAATAATATTAAAAAAATATTTATATGTTACTTTGCATCATACGAGATAGAGAAATGTATATATATATATAAGAATATCTAATGACACGTTTTTAGAGTTAACAACGCACAACTTCTCCCAACGCGCGCGCGCGGAAAGGTGCCGACAAGAATATACGTAAAAATATACCTTTCCTTTATATCGGCGATAGCGATTCTTATAATCTTGCGTCCCTCCGCCGCTATCGTTGACAATATTTACCTCAAGCAACCCTTCGTGTCTTCCTCGGCGACACGAAACCGTATAGTCGAATGTCGTCGCCGCGACGGCGCATGTAGAATTAATACTCGGAAATGACGGATTAATGTTTAAACGAGTCACCGCTCGTGCTGCACGAGTGCTCACTCTCTCTTTCTGTCTCCCTCTCTTTTTCTATCTCTCGCGTCGAAGTTCGTCGCTTTCGTTGTCGTACGTTCGGTTGAATATCGTTGAAATTATCCGAGGTACGAAATGGCAGAAGGGTTGCGAAAGTTTACGAAGAAAATTTTAAAAAGAGAGAAAGAGAGAGAGAGAGAGAGAGAGAGAAAGGAAGCAAGAGAAGAAATAATCGGCTGAGGAAAGCCGGCTGGCGAAGAGTGCACCTGTGTGTGAATCCACACGTGTCCAATGCAACTGCACCGTCCCTTTCCTCCCTTCCTCCTTCGCACGGAACTTCATTCATAATTCAAGCGTGAGTACGAGCGAGGGACGCGGCGAGTGCTCCGCAGCTCTCGCGTGTCGTCGTCTCCAACGGTGCACGCATGGCGCAGTTAGCGAGAAAAAGATTAAGCAATATGAAACATTCTTCGAAAGAACGGACCAACCGAGACACGTTAGCTCTCTTTCCACGCGAGCGCTTTCACTTTCCACATGTCATTCCACATATATCGCCCTACACTACGCCTCCGCATTTTCTATTGTGCGTACAAAGTGCTATTGTCGGACCGCCGCGAATGGCCGACGGGCTCTCGCTGTAATTGAACTGCGTGATAACTGCATTAATAACGAACGCGATGCGAGCGTTGCAGGATGATTGAGGGTCGGAAAATAAAATGGTAATGAACTCGGTTCCGACGGCGGGGTAAACATTTTATGGTGCGTTTGTACCACGGCGATAAATTGAAAAACTTTTTCCGCGTATGAAAATGCAAACAGTGCGAAGTGTAATTTTTTTCGCATTAAACCCGACTGCGGAATGACTGTGCGACAGCGATATTAATCGATTGTTCTACAAACGCACGAGATGTTATTTGCAGTAGAAAGTCAAGGAATTTTGAAATTTTGTAGAAACTAGGATGTTAAAGAAAAAAGAAACAAAAGTGAAATAAAATATAAATAACTGTGAGATACTTTCGAAGTAAGATACTTTTCTTGCGGTTAATTTCAAACTTTATAGCTTTCATCTACCTATACGACCGTTCTTTAATACTTCTACGAATGCAATCAGCGGTGAGATCAAACGCCACGACTTACAAAAGTACACGAATTATTTTCTTTCGGTACTTATTTTTTAAATAATAAAGTTTGAAAAGTAATTTTCTTCGAAGTTTTTATTCTCAGTTTAAACGCTTCTTATGTCGAGCCGTTAATTTATTACGTTTGATTATTTACTGTCTAATACGAATAGCCAATTATAGAAAATATAAGAAGCCTGAGAGTATTACGCCATTGGAAGCGTAATAAAAAGCGATTCTAATTTGAAGCCGGTGCGCGAAGAACCTTCTATAAAATTCAAATCTATGGAAACACGAGGTATCGCTCCGGCGTGTGTTCTTTTCGCACCAAACAACTTGCGCAACACGTCGCGTAAATTCCACACCGTGAGTATGATCGGGACGGGCGAGGCGCAGTTTCTAACACAACTCGCGCGTAGGATCTAACAAAAAGTAACACCTAACGACGACCGGTGTTCCGTGAGCATAACTGTACTCCGATAGAATAAACTCGACACACTGTAGCGGTCACGATTTTTCTCACCGCGCGATTCTCCGTCGCATTTCTCCTCGACGAGCTGAAAGAGCTCTGGCAATACTCGCCACGGTCACACCTACATTAGCGCAATAGTGCCGAGACTGCCTTGTGTGATCCTACGTTTTTTTTTTTTATAATGTGCCTCTTTTCAGAGATATTCACTTCTTCGCCTCTGCGTCTTTGTCCGCGCGGCTTTTGAATAATTGAAGAGCGGTAAAACAAAATTTCTCGTCCCGATGTCGTCGATCTCGCTTCTCGCACTCGGGGCTTCTCCGCGATGATAATCTTTTTTTTTTTCTAATACGCAACGCTGGAGAATCTTTGAGGATCGCGGAGTAATGTAGCTGAAAGTGCAAAGGAAGTCTTTCGAGCGGATCGCACGGATGCTCCTCCGTCTATCGGCGACTTCTTTCACTCTTCCCTGAGCACGTTTAACGTGCACAGACCCCCTTCGGCCACCCCCTCCCGCCCTTCCCGTTTCTTTGCCCTTTCTCCTCTGCGGGCCTAATGTCAATAACCGTTGCATTAGTTGCCGCTTCGTTACTTTCTTTGCGGCGGGCGAGCGAGCGGACGATTAAAAATGGTCGGAGCATCATCCGCGACGGCCGTGTGGCCACCGCGACGCCGACGCCGGCCAGCCCTGGGGTTCGTCGGTGTTGGTACGCCGGTGTCCGTTTCACGTGGCACGTCGTCGTAGCATCACGCTCGGTGATTTGCTCGCCGAAGCAAAAGATGTTCCCAATGGCTGCACCGTCGCCTGCATCCTCTTTGTACACTTTGTTCACACCGTGAAGGCAAGTCGTAAGGCACCACGGCGCCGGGGGCTTGGACGGGGAGACCCTGTAAATCCAACGTCCGTCCACGGCGTCGTCGCTCTCTCTTTCTGCGCGTTAGAGCGTCGCCGAAGCGGAGACTGACGTACACGTGGACGACGAAAAAAGATCCACACGAAACCGTTGCGAAAACCGGCCGTGTTATCTTCCGCCTGTGAATTCTTCGATCAAATCCCAAATCGATTTTTCCCTTTCCCGCGTTGAAAATTAAGAAATTGAACGGCGAAAGGAAAATTACGAGCTGCGAGTTCGTTGAAAGATTTCACAGCTGAAAGAACATGGGATGCTTTCAAAAGCTCCAGACGGTTCGTTGCTTTTTACGATGCACGTTTTATCGCGCCGCGAGATGACTCAGAAGAACGTAGAAGAAGAAGAATGATAGAAGGATGAGGAATGCGGCAGTTGCAACATCCGCAGTTAGGCTCCACGTGCAACCGATGATGCAACGTCCATGCATTTGGTAACTTCGTGGCCAGAAGGCCCCTCTTACCCGGCGCATCAGACCAGATAAAGTCTATCGGATCAAGACTGCCTACGGGTTTCGACAGAGAGAAAGAGAGAAAACGAAAGAGAGAAAGAGAGAGATCGTTAAGCAATCTCCGAATTATGTCGCCGGTGCCGCGAGTCGTGTCTCGATGTTATAAAACATAATTATTCAAAACGACAGTATAAAGGAATTAATCATTTATGTACACGCTGTATATTTTGGCGATGGATCAAAACACACGTGGTGCGAGGCGCGCGTGCGTGCAAGGTTCAACAAACCTCGCAAACTCCGCCCGTTCACTCACTACATCAACCTTGATTTCATGTGTTAATAGCTACATCGTTATCTCTCGCGCACGAATGTTTGCGATCTAATATTATTCGTTGACGTAAATATGCGACCCGTATTTCGCGAGTGAGCGTGGATTTGCCGCGAGTCGACAGAAATAATTTCCAGCAAATCCAATCTTTCCGTGTGTTTCCTTTCTTTCTTTCCTTCTTTTTTAATATACGAGCGACGGAGCTGCGAACTCACCATTTGGATTATGTTAAATTAAATTCGCAGTCGCGCCGCTTTGCATATGCATGGCAACACATGTGTGGAGGAACACACATTGTCGAATCTCGCGCGATGCAAAAACAATGAATGGCACTCACCGCCCATAGTGGAGACAGTGCTGGCCTTGTTGATCTTCGCATTCCACATAGCGGGCGTGGTGGGCGCGGGACTTTGATCGGGAGTCGGCGGATGAGCTGGCGGCATCGACACCATCACCGGACCCAGCTGCGCTCCGTGCGGCAGATGGTCCGAATTCGGGCCGTACGCGCTCGCGTCAAACCCCCGTCCGGGATAAGACTCGCCGGACAACCTCTCCGCCAACTTTTCTGCCCTTTCCCGATCGGTCAATCCGACCGGTGCCACTGGCTCCTGTTTTATTCGAAGATCTGCGACACGATGGAAAATTTCAGTCTTTCGTGGAATCCGCTCGATCACCGGTTCTACGTCGATCTCGGAGGGTGCGAAATGTTAATGTCTTACCTTCGGCAACGCTCTCCTTGAGCTCAGAGAGACAGTTGTTGCGCTCCTCGGATCGCGCTCGCTCCAGCTGTTCCAGTTCCGTGGGCGTGTGCGGTGCGGTGTGGGGAAGCGAAGGAGTTTCGGAGGAATGGATGAACGATTGAGTGTATAAGTGGTTCTCCGGAACGGACCTCGGCCGCAGGGTAGCGCCGTCGCACAACACGCTCGCTCTTCCCAGCGAATCGACGTCGCTCGGCGATCTAAAAATACACAACTCGCAGAATTCCACGCGTGTAATCCGTAAGCGCGTCATGCGGCGCGAATATTTGGTAAACACACGTAACACGAGGCGGAAGCCGGTGAAACCGGAAAAACGAATGAAAGAAGTACGAAGGAGAAATTCTTTACGGCGAAAATCGCTGAATCACACAATTGCGCGACATTAAAAATTTGAAATAAAATAAAATTTTCCGACGAATTAAAGCCGGAAATCGTAAAAAGCCATTTCGTCGAAGGGACAATTTTAAGACATCGCGCGTTATTTATCACTCCACCGTCCGCGGATTGTCACGTCATCGCCATTAGAACGTAAAGAAGGTCGCATTTCCCATAAAACTCTTTACGCGGTGAAATATCCTTACCTCATCAGCCTCTTCGACGGACTGTCGTAGTAATGAGAAGCGTACATGGGGGGCACGGGATACGCCGGGACGGGCGACGGTGTTTGGGTCCTCTTCATAGTATTCCTCACCATGGTGGCCTCGCCCGCCTCGCTCATATCATTCACGTCGCCGACGCCGCCGCCCCCATTGCCGCCGATTCTACCAGCACCGACAGCACCATCGCTACCGTTTCCGACACTACCCCGAACGCTATCACCACCGCCGCCACTGCCACCCCCGCCTCCGCCATTGCCTTCGTCCGTGGAGAAGGTATTGTTGCTCTCGGCGACGAGCCTCTGCGCCACAGCCAGCTTTTCATGCTCGAACGTTAGACCTTTAACCTACATTGAAAAGGAAAATGATATGCGTCACTCATGAATATCAAATATAAAAATCATCAAGATAAAAATAAATCAAAGAAGTTACAGAAATATTATTTTTTTTAATGTTCCTTACTAGGAATATCATCAATTATTTTAATAAGTATTCTGTATAGCTGATATTAATAGCATTTTTTTATATTTTAGTAAAAAACTGCAAAGCCGAGTCTTTGCGGTAAATATTTGAAAATATCGAATAAAAACACGCAATTCGTACAAGAGCGACAACGCGTTTTCCTTCGAGACAAATGATCCCTAACTATTCATCACAGTTTTCATGACAGGCTTGATACATTTTAAAAATAGATAATGTCGCACGTGTACAATTATTCGAGGAACATTATTTAAGGCCATTATTTACGGAAAAAGGCAGGCACGTACTTGTAGGCATTCAGCTGCCTTGAGAAAGGAGCTGAGGGATTCCTGGGAAACGTGTACCTCTCCACGGTACATGAATTCGAGGAGGGACGCCATATTGTGGGCACTCGTCCCGTCGAGAATAACGATCAGTCCCGCGGGAGAAGGCGGCATTCCTTCGAATAGCTCCTGAAAGTGCTTGCTGCATGCTGCGAGAATTAACCTGTGTGCTTTGAATGTAACTCCTGAAACACAAATAAATAGGAACTTGTAGGTGATTACGAAGGGATCATTATCGTTCCCACTAAAGAAAAGTAATGAGTGAATTATAAATATTAATACTAATTTACCAAGTTGAATAAAATTAGAAGCAAACAGCAGTATTAATTCGAACACCGTGAGCATTACTGTAAATTTAATTCGATGCGCTGTTACAAAAGTGTGTTTCTACTATGTTAATTGCATTAATTATCGCGCGAAACTCGGATATCATGCAATTAGCATGAAAAGTTTCGGTCCACGCACAAGAGTACGCTCGCATTTCAGCCTTTTCTTTCTCACGGCTTACAATATAAGCGGCCACTATCGTACGAGCGCGGGAATTTTGGCGTGCAAAGGAAACCGGTGACCGGCGAACCCTTTTTTTTTTACCGGCCCACCACATTTCCCTCTCCGCGACGCAAACATAAAGGAACCGAGGCCTAAGCGCGCCTGACGTCGATGCCCTTTCTCGCAGGCCGCTGCGTATGTAGGTCATCTTCGGACACGATCTTCCGTAATTCGTAATTCACGCGCGCAAGTATGTATAATGCACGCTCGCAAGCGCGCGGGCGTGTAATGCGATATGGGCGATCGCGTAGGGTGCCTGAGATATTCAGGAACGGTTGTGCGTGAAAAAAAAGAAGCCATGATCATAAACGACCGTTGAAGCCTCTGCGATGTCCTGAAGCCGGATATCTTGGAACATTTTTTTTTTTTAAATCCACCAGTTTTCTATTACATTTATAAATTGAATGTAGAGCTCGATCACACATTTCATTATGTTTTGTTCAGCTTTCTTGAAATTTATTTAATTTTCACAAAAATATTTGCGGACGTATATTAGTATCAAGAGTAATATCTGCGTCGCGCGTTATTCCTCTTCGTTATTTCATGACGATCCCGTGCGCGAAGTAAGAAAACGGAGCGCTCCATGAAAGCGCCTCGTCGCAGGCGTGCGTTTGGATGAATACGGGGAGGAGGCTCATCGTTAGTACCGAATAAGAAAATCAAGTGCGAGTAGAGAAAAGAGAAAGGTGACGAAGGCACAACCAGGTGACTCAAAGCACCTGTCTTTCCTAGTGGCTCCCAGGACACAAAGTGTATCCAACTCTTTGAACTTCGTCTCGGTGTGGAATCAAATTTCCGTATACTCCCCGTTGCGCCCAATTTCAAGTCTCTTATCCGACGAATATTGAATTGATCGCGTATCCGTGTAGGAGAGGAAGAAAGAGAAAGAGAGAGAGAGAGAGAAGTTTCACGATTCCGTGATAGTTCGTGTTCTCCCGCGGCAAGCACCGAAATAAATCGTATCGTAAATTTGTTCCGCAAGTATAATAATAACATCCATCTCTAACGAGCGTAAGAAACGTCCGATATCGGATTTCGACCGAAAATAATTTTCTGCATTCCAGCACATTTGTAATCGTCGAGTATTAATAATCTCGCTGATGTATAACATACCTAATATAGCGTCACGCGTATCGTTACAGGTGTTCCGCGCCAAATATACGCTCTGCTTGCTATGTGCTATGCAAGGGCCAACGGCCGAGTCGCGCGTGTGTGTGGGCGTTTTGCGACTATGCCGGCCGGCAAGGCTTACGCCATCGCTTATGTCAATGTTCATAAGCGGATACGCGTGCACGATACTGCGTCGCGCGCAACGAGAACAATAGAGTTGAGCGTGAAGGGGAGGCAAAGAAGGCGGAATGCCAAATTGCGCAGAAAAATGCAAAATAACAAACTCTTCGCGAAAAATCGTTCACGAAAGTCTGTGTCACTATCTGTGACGCGGAAAATTCTACAGCTCCCGGGATCCCCGTATTTGCGAACTGCGCTCGGAAAGGCGTAGAACGCGATACGGCAGCCGAGTTTACCGCGCGACTTTTTGCACACTTGTGGAAATAATGAAAATATGCAAAATTTATCAACACAGAGGCTACCGGGGAATTATAATAAATTCTGTAATGCGGCGCAGCGCGGCAATTCACGCACATATGCGGGCGTTCCGTTATCAGGGCGCATGCAAAATATACGCGCGATATGTTGCAGAGAATTTCGGCGGCGTTGCGTAACGTGCACGCGCGGAGGTTTCGAGGACGTGTTTATGACACGCCGCAAACACCGTCATCGACTCATCGAGTCCGACGAGAGAGTACGATTATTACTGAATGAACGAGTAGAGATAACGCACGGGCGCGCTTTCAGAGCGATCGCGCTTATTTATTTCGATAATGTTTATAGTTAAGGAATAGATTTGACCAGACGGACGGCAATGCCGTCGAGCAAAGATTATCGATTATTACGGGTGGGCGATAGCATCGGCGGCGCCGCGAGAGTGCAAAAGCTATCGTTTGAAATATTTTCGCACTTATATAATACCTATACATAAAGCAATTTGGCAAAACATAATAATAAAAAAGTTAATTCTGTTGTCAATGTGAGTTGCGAAATATATCGTTAATATTGTTGTCCCGGCGCGATTACTAAGAGGTTTTGTAATAAGAGAAGCAAAGTTGCCAGCAGTTTCACTGCCGTCACGAAACTTGCAAATAAAACGCTTGTAGTTACGCAACAGTGCAATGCACTCTTCGCGGGCAATCTATTCATATTCCAAGGCCAGCCGGTAGAGCTCTTTGAGAGTTAGGGTTTTTGACGAAGCCTCTTACGACGGTCATCGTTCCCCCTTCTACACGCAATAATAATTCGGTGCCGCGTTGTACGTGCACCGTGACCGAATAATATACACTGCCGATGAATTTAACAATTGTAGCTCTCTCAAGTCAATGTCAACCGCGTGCCGATGTCAGCGACCGACAAGTCTTAAGAGTTACCGTGAATTTTTATCAAAAGATAGCGTTAAACAAACAATACGCACGAATTCTCTGATTTTCGGATTAAGAAAGATATATAATGATTGATGTGTAACAACATTATGAAAGAGAAATGTAATTGGATAAAACCGGAAATCTCGGTATTAAATCGGAACAGGTTTTTGTATTATTCAAAAATATTCGGCATACACGTTTACATGTTGTCTCGAAGCTGAAGCACCGGAAAATTACACGGAGCGTTCTTCGACCGATCATCCCCTTGCGTGGATTGCGCGGTAGCGATACGCGCTGCGCCCGCGGTATTGGAGCTTTGCGAAGAGATAAGAGCGGCCGTCGATTTGATTAGAGCAACGACAAAACTCTCTAAATAGAGGAAGGCGGCCAAAGGAAGGGAACGACGGTCAATGCCCCGTCAAGGTCGATGATGCAGAGTGTGCTAGCGAGCGGAGCGTGCGAGCGGGCGAATGTGTGCTTGTTCCGTATCGGCTCGACTCCGCTCGGCTCGTTCGTCCGTACGAAAAGTCGATGGGCCAATCGCCGATCGAGCTTCTTCTGGGCCCAGCCAATGGCCGCGTGGGACCAAGGTCGTTTTCTTCGCACGTATTCGAAGTTCGCTGCACAGTGCGGCGAAAAGTGGTGTCGAAAAAAATAAGTGACGGCGCGAGGGGGCGACGAGGAGAAGCGAGCGCAACACATACGCATTGCGATACGCGAGAAGCGACACGTGGAGAGGCGACCGTGAAACTCGAGGTTGCCCCCTGATAAATCGGTGTTGAACGCACACGAGTGCGCGCGAGCGTAGGAAGGGTGCTGACTTGAGACGCGAAAAATAGATACGCGCCTTTGTCCAAAAATGTTAATTGCACACTGCTTCTCTCGCGATTCGATGTCTTGGACTACGAACGCTATTCTCGTTCTATAAAAATTTATTCAAGGATTTCATGGGAGTAGCTTTATCTATGAAAAAGAATGACGAATATAAATGCGCCTTCGAAACAACCAACCTTGATTCATTCAAAGAAGAGAGCCGAGAGATCGCGGTTTTTAATTAAGTTTGATTAAATATATTACAATAGAACTTTTTTAAGAATTAAAAGACCGCGCTAATTCATTTCTATTGGAGAAATATAATTTTTGTCAATAATTATTCACTCTTACGAATTTAATTGTCATTGATTGATAATATAATATTCTCCGAAGGGAATACATTGACGAAATATCGATGAAATTGAAGAATATTATATCAAGCGAAGAATACAAAGCGTCTCTATAATTTCAACCATGAATATTCACTCGCGCATCGCATCGTCAACGACATCGCCAACATCCGTTGTCAGACATGTAAATGCATACAATGTTAAGGAATTGCGCATGCAAACGAATCAATATTACTGTACGTTGCGTAATTGCACAGTGTCATTGACCCAATTTCGATTAACGATTTCGAGTGATTCGGAGGGATTTTATCAGCACGTGTCTGCTCGCGTAATATGCATTCGCTTCGCGCCGCCTGTTATTGCAACCACCGAAAAGTCTTATCTCAACGAGGCATTAATTTCTTCGATTCCGCCCCCTCTCGCGTCGACCCTCTCCACCGTGAAAGGTTAACGCAGCCAATAGGCTGTAATAATCTGATAAATGCCGCCGTTGCTATCGTGGAGGTGTCGCATTTTCGTAACGTCTCGCCTTGTAATACTAACGAACCAGACCTTGACGCGAACCTTCCACATGTCTAACGTTGACTTTTCCCGGCCTATAGATCGGTTCAAGTGCGATTAGAATACAACATTGTGACGAAATTCTAAGATAGAATCGACAAAAAATACGGCTCGAGTTGTACTCTACAGTGGACTTAACTACAATATATTTAAAATATATTATACATTTAAATTTATATAAAATATATCTATTTTTAAAAGTATGTAATATATTTTAAATCTGTTATATATGTTTAAATACATATTTTATAATAATATTAATAATAATAACGAATTGTTAAAAAGAATCAATTATAAACTGCTATGTATAACAGAACAACCACGTTAAACATTGTTCTTTATACATATTTCCGCGAAAGTGGAATCTGCTCTGATAATATCTTGACAACGTAGTTTCTCGAAACGCTCACATTTTATTACGGTATCTTCATATCG